TATCAAAGCCACTGGAAGGGCGAATTGGGACCAGGACGCGCTCGACGGTGTGACTGAGATGGCCAGACGGAATGAGGAGCTTCGTCGTCGCGTTGAGGGCAAGACCGTGCGCGATGACGATGAGGAAGCATCTGATGTGCCAAGCGAGGAGGAAGAGAGCGACGATGACGACGATCACTCGGACAATGACGCGCTGCAACAATCCCTCGGAAAGCTCAAGTCGAATCCCTTCTCGACTAAGGAGTCTAAGCTGGGTCAGATGGCCTTTATGCAGAAGTCCGAGGCTGCGAAACGCGCACAGAACGACGAAGCTGTTGAAGCCCTAAGACGCGAGCTTGCAGGTGAAGACAGCGATAACGCCGAAATCGATGAAAACGCTACTAAGGCGGGACGGAGAAGATACGGGCCCAACGCCGACGTGTCAGCTCCGGCTATACAGATCAACCGCAGCGAGTTCGAGGAGCACGAAGGTTCTGACGCAGAGAACGAAATTAACCCGACTGCGGAAGGCGAAGAGTCTGTTGCGGACGCAGCATCAGCTAGAAAGCCTGCCAAAAAGAACGGCTTGAGTGGTCTCTCGAATGGTGTCCGCAAAGAGCGCAAGGCTGCCGCACCTGTAGAGAACGGCAGCGGAGAGTCCAACCCTTTCTTGACCAAGGCGAAGAAGGAGAAGAAGACCACAACCGAGCCTGAGCTCTTCTCAGCCACAAGTAGTACGACCACCACTACGCAAGCTAAGGCCGTCGCTCCTAAGCCTACGCCCAAAGCCAAGCCTCAAAAGAAGTCAAAGCAAGCGGCCAAACCTCAAGAAACCAAGGTAGACGACTTCTTGAAGCAACGCGTTACAACGGCCGATGACGATGGTTGGGCGACTGTCATTGGTGGGCAAGAAGATGAGGACATGGACGAGCAAGGCATCGAAGACGTGGGTATCGATCTTGACGTCGTCATGCGCAACCAAGCTCTCACAGCAAAGGGTTTCGCCGGCGACGACGTTGAAGCCGACTTCGACGCCGAAAAGAAAGCCACCATCGCAGATGAAGAAGCAACCGAAGAAGTTTCTATCCTCCCCGGATGGGGCTCCTGGACCGGCGACGGCATGTCCAAGGCCGAGAAGAAGCGCAACCTCGGCGCCAAAACGGTCACCAAGAAGCCCGGTATCGATGCTGATAGGCGGAAAGACAAGAAAATGGACAAGGTCATCATCAATGAGAAGAGGCAGAAGCCTAACGTCAAGTATATGGCTAGCCAGCTACCGTTCCCGTTCGAGAACAGGGAACAGTATGAGAGGAGTTTGCGCGTGCCAAAGGGCAAGGAGTGGGTCACGAAGAAGACGCATCAAGACGTTACGAGGCCGAGAGTTATTGTTAAACAGGGTGTTATTGCACCACTGCGGAAACCGCTGGTCTGAGCGAACGGTATTAGCCAAACTTTCGCTTACCTTGTAATGGAAGCGGATCAACTTTGCAATCTTACTTGTCTGTCATGTGCTGGCAGTCACCTCTGCAAGCCACGTGGAAAAGCTTCTCCTTCCACTTACACCGTGACTTTCCCCTCCTGCCGCCTTTCCTTACAGAGTCACATGTTACGATCCACCACTGCACGTCATTTTTCTCTTGTTTTTCTTCTTTCTACTCAGTGATACATCGTACATTCCTTCGCAATGCCGCCGTGGTGCGACCGTTTGACCGCGCAAATGCGCAAACCTCGTGTTATTGAGCAAACTAGCCAGGCGTCACTTCCCAACTCTCACTGCGCCCATCGCGACAGTAACACCAGACAATGGGTCTTTCGCAGCCTGCAGACCGCATTCTACAACCTAAGCCGATATCGCCGCTACCCACCTACTTGTCTATACACTGTATTGATACACGATCACTACCACGCCTACGAACATATACAAAAAGACTGACACGCAGTTCGCATCGAGCACTCGGCTCAGGTAGCTCCCCTTTCAAACCCCTAAGATAGCGTCGATGGGACCATCGCAATCCCGCGTCGGCGACCCCCGACCGGTTTCGAAGTCTTCGAAATCGAGCAAGAAGGATGGCTGGTTCGGAACATTGCGCGAGACGCGTAAAGGCATCAAGACCTCGCTAGGCTACAACGGCTCGACCGTTCCCGACGAGATACCTCCCGATAACATCTTCACGCCTATACAGCAAGACAGCATTCTTCCACAGATACCGATTGGCCGTCATCACCCAGTTCCTAGAACGGGGGTGGAGGATGACGACAAGACGACTCTGCACACGAACAAGTTCTACGCCAATGCGTTTCTAGGACAGCAAAACCAGCCTATCTGGACACATCCGTACTCGATATGGTGGGGCAAGTCGGCATCGGATGTGGGAACGGTGCAAACATGGGGCATGTGCGTGAGCCATATTGAGGAGAAGGATTTGGTTTTCGAGCCGGGACACCCTGCGAAGGGCTATATCAATCCGCTACACAAACAGCATCTCATTCTCAGCGCCGTCGAACTCGATGCTCGGACAACCCTTACCACAGACACTCATCTCCCCTTCTCCGTCAACATCAACCTCAACGCGCACTCTACCCCTAAAGAACCTAAAATCATCTTCCCTGTTGTTCAAGGCATGAGCTTCGTCACAGCTGGCTATCGAGACGCAACGCCCATGATACAGACTGGCGGTCGCGGCTTCGTAGACGTTGTAGGTCCGATCATCATGGGCCGTACAGTCAAGTATCGTCTGAAAGACAAGGACGGAGCGTGTTGGGCCATGTACATCAATCCAGTAGCGAGTCTCGACTACGACGCCACAAAGTTCGCCAGAATCAATGCCAACACGCTCGTCGGCCCGCCAGCGTTCAAGGGCACGATCCAAGTGGCAAAGAACCCACTCGGCGCAGAAGGAGAAGCCATGTACGACCGAGCCTGCGGAGCCTTCGTATGCGAAGCCCGACTCACCGCCGTAGTACCAGACGGCAAAGGCATCTACACATTCCGATACACAAAGATTGGCCACTCGCCCTTACTCATGTTCGCCCTACCGCACCACATCCAATCCCTCGACCCCGAAATGCGAAACCAGATAACCAACCTGCGCCTCCGCACCACAACCAAAGGCATAGCCACAGCCATCTGGGCCGAAAAGCTCACCTTCATCGAACCCGCCATCCCCCTAACCATGCACTTCGGCCCCTGGAACCCCACCATGAGCGCAAACGCCAAAGTGCGTTATCCGCCTGAAGTCCTCGCCTTCATCGCCGCAGTCGCAGAACGCGACCTCCGCCGCGCAATGACCGAACGCATACCACAAGACTCCATGTACTTTGCCGGCAAAGCTCTCTCGAAATTCGCAACCATCGTCTGGGTCATCAAAGACGTGTTGAACCACGAAGCCATCGCAAACGCGGGTTTAGACAAGTTGAAACAGGAATTCGCGCGGTATGTTGAAACTCAACAGCGGCACCCCCTTTACTACGACGACAGCTGGAAAGGCGTCGTCTCCGCCGCTGGCTTCACGGACCCAAATGCTGATTTCGGGAATACGTATTACAATGACCATCACTTCCACTACGCATACTTTGTCTACACAGCCGCTGTTATCGGGTATCTGGATCCGGAGTGGTTGAACCAAGGGGATAACAAGGCGTGGACGAATATGTTGGTGAAGGACTATGCGGAGAGTGATTATAACGGCCGGGACTACCCTTTTCAACGTGCGTTTGACTGGTGGCATGGACATAGTTGGGCGAAGGGATTGTTTGAGAGTGCGGATGGCAAGGATATGGAGAGTACGGGGGAAGATGCGTTTTCTTGCTATGCGGTTAAGATGTGGGGGAGGGTTAGTGGGGATGCGAATATGGAGAAAAGGGGTAACGTTACCATACCCAAACAACTGCTAAAACGACTGCGGGTTGGGATGTGAAGATGTGAAGAGTGGACTGACAAAGCGTAACAGGAAACCTCCAACTCGCCATCCAAGCCCGCTGCTTCAACTCGTACATGTACATCCGCTCCAACAACACAAACCACCCAAACCGCTACACGCAGAACAAAGTCGCGGGTATCCTGTTTGAGAATAAAATCGATCACGCGAGTACGTATGCCCGTCATAGTACCTTTTGCTGTTGCTGTAAGGCCCATCACCACACCCACACACACACATACATACCAAGAGCCCCTTCCGCCTCCCCGTCTACCCTACTGTTGGCTAACACACCCGAACAGCGTACTTCGGTCTCGAAACCTCCCTCATCCACGGCATCCACATCGTGCCCATTTCGCCATGCACCTCGCTCATCCGGCCCAGGGGGTTTGTAAGAGAGGAATGGGATACGTTCTTCACGGAAGGGCGGGCGAATGTGGAGGGAGGGTGGCGCGGGATCTTGTATGCGAATCTTGCGTTGATTGATCCGAGAGCGAGTTACTCGTTCTTCAGGGATGGGATTGATGGGTTTTGGGATGAGAGGTGGATTGATGGTGGGGCGAGTAGGACGTGGTATTTGGTTTGGGCGGCGGCTTGGGGGGAGTTTGCTAAGGCGGGTCGGTAGGGGGTTAGTGATGTGATGAGATTGATGGTGAGGTTGGAAGGCGGGGTATTGTCTGAGTAGCTTGTCATGAGAATGTGAGCATCCACAACGAGAAGAACAGGCAAATATTTCTTGACAGTTCATTTCATCCTACATATACAAATCCTCCCCTTCCTTCTATCCACCGACATGAGGTCCCTGCCAAGCTCAGACCACATTCGATCGTCAAGCCACACTCCACTTTTCGGCAGCCGATCGTTCCGATGCACTGCCACAAGTAGATATAACGCCAAGAACAGCTGCACCGCCCCACAGATACTCGTACAAGCAGACTAGGAACTAAGGAAATGCAGTAGCAAATAGGAAATCAAAGAGGCCCTTCCGTTCTGTAGTCTTGTGCCAAGATATATTAGAGCAGAACATAGATTGTACAAAGGAAATGGGATTCATCGCGCCGCTCAGCGAACGCGAATCCATTGCAGCTAGCACGCTTGCACGCTCTAGGTGGAGGCGAAGAAGCGCTTGACAACATCGACGGTGATGTCGCCAGCTGCGTTGTCGGGGTAGATGTAGAACGCAAGCGCGATTATGGCGTAGATGCCAATGCACATGGCGCCCTCGAGGTAGTTGCTCTTTCCGTCCTGGATGAGGTAATTGACGATCAAGACCGAGATGAAGAAAATCATGGTCTCGAAGCCCTGGAAGTGGAGCGTCATGGGCTGACCCATGATCCAGCCGAGGATGACAAGGAAGGGAGTGACGAAGAGAGCGATCTGCATGGAAGATCCAATGGCGACGTTGATAGCGAGGTCCATCTTGCCCTTGTATGCAACGATGACGGCGGTGACGTGCTCGGCGGCGTTTCCGACAATCGGGATCAAGACCAAACCAACGAATGTTTTGCTGATGTGGGCGGATTCAACAATCGAGTCGATACTATCAACGAGGAACTCGGCGCATACAGCGACAAGGACGGTAACGATCACGAGCGCAACACCGGCAGCGACGGGAGACAAGATCTGAGCCTCCTCCTCCTCACCGCCACCCTCTTGGTTCTCGACATCAGCGAAGAGGCTGTGGTGAGAGTAGAGCTGGAAGTAGAGGTATAGGATGTAGAGAATGAGCAGGATAATGGCAGTGCCGTGGGAGAGGACCAGGATGTTCTTGTCAGTCTCGAGGTTGTCCTTCTTGTTGTCACCGTGCATGACAGCGTAGAGGGTGGCGGGGATGATGAGCGAGGCGGATGCGACGGCCATGAGCGATGACATGGTAGATGCGACGGTCTCGTTGAATCGGCTCTCGTGTTGAGTCAGGCCCGCGGCGAGGAAGCAGCATCCGAGCACCTGGTCACAGTCAGCGCTGAAGTATGAGTAATGGAATAACTTGACTCACAAGAAGGATGTTGGACAGAATACTGCCCAGCATGCTGGCTTGGACAATTCGGATTTCGCCCTGCTTGAGCGCAACGATAGAGACCTGTTGCGGTTAGCCAATGTTGCAGCGCAATGGATGCGCGCGGAAGCTTACAATGAGTTCGACGGCATTTCCAAATGTCGCATTCATCAAACCACCAAGAGTTTGGCCAAGCTTAGCGGATAGCTCCTCAGTCGCGAAACTCAGGAGGGCAGCAAGAGGGATAATAGCGATGAAGTTGAGGACGAAGACGACGGTAGGGTTCCAGTGCAATGCGCCGGCGATGATGCCGAGCGGCACGAAGACGAGGAAGACGTTGACGTAGTTGCTGGCGAGTGTCGCGTAGATCAAATGCAATACATGCTTGGGCATAGTCTTGACGCGCGACTCGTCTTCATAATTCTGGGTGCGCCCGATGAGCGGGGTGTGCTCATCGTGGAGCCGGCCGTTGGCGGGCTGGGGCATGGCTTGCTGCTGGTGACGGTGATAACTCTGTGCTCGACCGTGACGGTGGAAAGACTGCTTTATGTTTTCTGCCAAGGGCACAGGTTAGCGATATATAATTCGTGGGCCGAGTGCGCGATGAAAGTTGATGATGGTGCTGTGCTGCGCCCCGGTCGGTCGGTCGGCGGCGATGGAGGTTTGGTTAGGAAAGCCGAACAACGATGGTGTTGTAGGGTCGATCCAAATACCAAGGCTGCGCGAAGCGACTATGACAAGGCCGGCTAACTGCCGCGTGCGGGAAAATGAATCAAAAGGGCCATTGTTACTCACTCATTGCTGTTCGGGAGAAGAGTCAGATGCGCACGGCGCGGGAAAGCTAGCAGTATATGACTTGTCGAAGCCAAGCTCGCTGGTCTGGTAGGTAGCTGCCGGATGCACGCCCTGCGATTGGCGGAAGACAGGCTAGGAGAATTGGCAAATGCTTTGAGGTTGTGTCTTCGCAGCGAGGACCCGGCGAAAGTGGTTAGTTATCGAGAGGGGGAGGAGGGCAGTGCTGGCTTGCTGTTTTCCTGGCCGGTTGAGATGACGAGGTGGTTGGTGAGGTAGGCTGTGTAGACGCCAAGCGGGTACCAGCGCATGGTTTAGCTCGGGAGCTGCCAGGTTGCCCAGGGGAAGTGGAGCATATCGTCACATATTTCCCTCACTAATCGCCACGCTGTCTCAGAAGCTGCAGAGACTCGAATCGCGGTACTCATACTGCATTATCACCAGCCTCATGAGTTTTGAACATGTGTGCCTCGGTGCGCGCTTCAGCCAGAGCTGATGATGTCATCACCCCGTCGCGCTTGCCCGCCAAGTCCAATCTGAGTCTGGAGTGGCCCATGCACGTCAAAACAACCGCTTGCAGATCATTCAATTGGCCCACCGCCGACCGTCTAATCAAAAAGTTCGTTTTGAGCGCTTCACTTCGGTACGTCGCGGACTGCCAAGTGCGCGGACGAGATTCACTGATAACAACACTGCCCGCTGTGTTCGTCGCTCAATGTGAACAGCCTCACCGCTTCTACGAAGTAAGCCCGAGTCTTACAGTTGACAATGTACAGCGTGGCAAGGGATACTTGGCGCGCCATATCCTCTCTACGAGGATACACCACGGAGGTACATGGCTCGAACTCCGCCTTCGTGGCTGACTGACATGTTGATCTTTTTCCGTGGCGGAGCTGTAAGAAGAGTTCTTGGAGTGTTGGTAGGCAGACTTCTGACTTCGGTCTTGGATGAGGTCTTCAAGGTCTTCGTCGGCTCATCACTAATATTGCTGTAGCGTGCTCTGCATTGCTTTGCGCGGCGATGCATCCTTTGGTTGCTTTGTTTCGATGCCTGGACAGTTTCTGGCTTCCGTACCCGAACGTGAAGAGTCTTCCAGCAAGGTATATGGTTGTGCACGTTGAGATTGAAATAAACGAGATATGGAGCAAGTCCTCTCACTGACTATTCCAAATGATGGTTGTCCCAATGTTTGAATCACTGGCTACTGCTCGAATGCGAACGTCAATAATAGTTGTGGGGGTTCGTCAAGCATACTGAGGAAACATCCATCGACGTTATGTTCTAGTTTGCTTGGGTACGCATGAGTAATTTCTTTCCTGCTAATCATGTTGCTACGACTTCAACAGGTCGATGAAAATGTCAGTTGTATCGCTTATATTCCCAAGGAAAAGTACAGGCGAAAGACATGCGTGGGGTGATAGCATTGGTATCAACATAAAGTGCCGATCCTGTTCAAACCCAGCCGAATATAGGCGTAACATCGCAACTTGATTTTGGTCCATAATCGTTGTTCCTTTCCAAGCGGCCCGTGTATGATCACTTCTTTGTACACCGGGTACTTCGTGTTCCCGGCCAGCTGCTCAGCCTCTTCTTCGGATATCAGTCGAGCTCTGTAAGATTGAAAAGCAGCGGAAACGCCCCACAGCGCTACAGAGGATGCACACATTGCACATGCTGTGATCACGAAAGCGGTGATGGAATGGCCGCTATCATTTATTTGCTGCACGTTCTACGATATCTATTAGCGAAGAAACGTGAGCAGGAAGCAGACCACTCGTACCATTCCGTAGATCGAGGATGCGAGGGAGACCGGCAAGAATACAAATGCCAGAGCCGTCACTTGGATTGTATTAGTTTGGTCCCTAGACAGCGTAGGGGTTCATCGTACGTAGCATGACTCTTTTGCTCTCCCGGATGCTCATTTCAGCCATGTAAATACTCTTCCTTGTGCCTTCCGCCGCTAGATGATCTCTGAGCTGTGACTCAGACTGTTCGAGATCCTGTACTCGAAAGGTGAAGCGTTCCATGATGTCATCGAACGCTTCTTGAAGATTCTTGTCTTTGTGCTCGAAATGTTCCCGGAAGAAGCGTGTTATCCAGCGCAGGGTATTTCGTTGATCATCAACATCTTTCCTTAATCGAGCCCATATAATGCTTGGGTCAGCAGAAACGGCCAGAGGTCCTACGGTACCACCTCGGTATTCCCCGCAATATTCTAGTATCACCCGGGACTGCAAGCCACGCATTCCGATATGAGGCACATTCAAAGGCGCTGTAGACAATTGCAGCTCAAGTAGCGCCGCTAAGCAAACGTAGAGAAAGTTGTCTTTGCCGAAATAGTTATCGCAGCCGATTCCTGATGTGATGAAGCGTTGAATGAGCCATGTGCTCTGATGGTGGTCGCCGTCAGGCTGATCAGTGGTATCGCATAATCCTTCCAGAATTTGTGATGGTCTTTTGGATGGGTACATTACAGAGCTGGTAGAGACTCTAGGCCCTGGGCCCCCAAACAGGCAACTGCTCCCCAGAAACAGGATTGCTGCAGTACTAGTTAGCTAATATGATCGCTTGGAAATGGGCGGTTGCGTATACCAGTTTTGGTCGCTTCCTCTAGCCCGGCCTCAAGGATGCACAAAGCATTCCGTCCCACACGTAAGGCCGGAGGAGTCTTGTGCCAAAATCGTGGCAAGACACCGTGGCTATCAATGTTCGGATCTTCAACACACACCTGAGCATATTCGAATAACTCAGGACCCAGATCTAACCCTATGCCAAGCATGCGTTGCGTGTGAGAGGAAATGCCGTGATACCCAGGAGTTACCACAACTACTCTGTAGGACACATTCTCATCTTGATTTTGTAGTACCGTTCGGAAGTCATCGAAAGAAAGAACTGCTATGCGAGGTCTGACACCGGTTCCATCTAGAGCGGGTAAATTTCTTGGAACGTCGACCCTATCCCCATTGTCTAGGTCATGATAAGCCCATTCGACACAACGACCGTCATCATCGAAACTCGCTAGCCACAACTCATCAACGTTGGGAACGGTCATCGGACGAGACCGTCGATCCCTTCAGTTTCCACTAGTGCTCTTCGTATGATCCAAACCCGGTGGCAGTCTTGGGAGTTGCCGAAGAATGTAAGTTAGTCGGAAGAGAATCTCCGGTATGGGCACCGCTTGTCATCATGGAATGTGTCCTTCTCCTCGATTTGAAGCTTAGACGGTTCTATCCGCTGGCAGATGGTACGGTCGTAATTTTCAGAAGAAATGTCTCATGCGAAAACCCGAAACTGCGCGACATTGCAGCGCGATGTTGTTCTTTATCAAGCACCCGTAGGGCCGCTATCTGCGATGTGTCTGCTGATCTGACATGCATATGTGCTTCTCTAGCAGTTCTCGTCCTGCCAGCTGAAGCGAGCTGAGAACCTCGCGCGCCACATCGCGATGTCAATTGGTCGGCTCAATTTCCTGTGTCACGTTCTAGCCGATCGGGACCACAAACGGACGACAAGAAGCAGTGCTGAGCGCATGGAGACCTTGACCGGTCTCGAATGACAGTTATATTGGCTTTGTGGCCTTCTATGGGTTGTGATATGCCTAACAGGCTCTGAGATCTGCTGTGCTGTGTGGTGACCGTAGTCCGCACTGCGCCAGTGCCCGTACCGCCCGAACGAGGCATCGAAGGTATGACGGTCGATATATGGGATCCATTGGAATTTCTGAAAGTCCGAAATTATCATACCAATGCCTCGGATGTGTGATTTGAATACGCGACAACTGCAAGTTACTTGGTGTGAACTTTTGTGTGATCTGGTTCGCGAAACGCATATGAGTCTGACAGCAGCCTTGCCTACGAGAGTCTTTGATAGCGGCGCATTTAGGATTCGACGAGTACTTCATATCTTCCGCGTGCTGGTACTAAAGAGATCGTAGACCGCGAGTAATTTTGTGCAGCTGGAGTTCTTTCGTAAGCTGCTGCGGCGTGGTGTCTGACTTAGGCCCACAGGTGCGCTGCAACTGCACGTTCCGAGTGATTGACACTATATATGGCGGTCGCAACGATACAAATACACGTGTACGGTGCTAGGAGCGTAAAAGACGTGTTCGGTAGTCGCGACTGCCCTCAAGCGGCCAAGGGTGCCGGGTGATGCCGACGCTTACCCATGACGTCATCGGCAAACCTCAATCTAGCGTGGCTTCCCCTTGTCTCTTCAACTACACCCAGCTGCCGTCCTGGCGCAACGTCCGCCTACTACGATCATGAGTGCATATTCAAGGGAGAAGCCCATAGCCCTTCGTAGCTCAAGCATGCCTCAGGAACTCGCACAGCTGAAGCTGCCCAATCGCGTTCGCTCCTCATCCGAAGTTTTGGTGGACACATAAACCATGTCTTCATAGATGCTATCACAAGCGAACAGCCAACTTTGTAAAGAGCATGGATATGATTGGAAATGACTTTGGTATTCCGCCGGTACTTTGCTGCCTACCGTGAGGTAGACACCACCAATATTCGGATCGATTACATGTTTCCTATACACCTGACTTTGAAAGAAGGCCAGATTTCACGTTCAGGCTAAACATGTCGCAATCATGGAATGTCAGGCTTCCATATGATCGACGGCGTCTTCAGGGAATGGCTACCGCGAGCATGACCTGTGCGCTGTATGCGTCTACCGTTGGTTCCAAGGAGTCC